GAAGCCTCGGACTCTGAATCGCACTTACTTGACCAACTGGCAATACAGAACCCCAGACCCAACGATCCCACAACCGCATGCTAGCAAGAATGGCGTCTACTGGCAAGAGAATCGTGTTCACTGGCGGCAGCGGAAAGGCTGGTCGTCATGTCATCCCCGAACTGATCAAGCGAGGCCACAAGGTGAACAGCGAAGTGCCATCAATAAGCCGCGTGCGACGCTAATGCGCATTCATCAAGGTGCTGAATCTCGACTTGGTTGACTTCCCCGACCCCAAAGCTGGAGTCTTCACGCTCAAAACAGACCTCACGCAGTCAGGTCAAGTGTTCGACGCTCTGACCACACACTATGACTTCGCTGGGTACGAGACGGGGAAACCTGAAGGACCGCCGGATGTTGGTATGTACTGTTGGGTGGCTACGTCAAGCTGAATAGGTTGCTAACGTTATCACAGTATGTATCATCTACTAAATTAACGACTAGATACTCTTGACACTGACCTTCCAACGTTAGGTCATCCACTTTGCAGCTTACGCCAGGAATATGCTGGTCCCCGACAACGAATGCTTCAGCGCCAACGTTACTGCCACCTACAACGTGATCGAAGCTGCCTCCAAGCTAGGCGTCAAAAAGATCATCACGGCGTCCAGCGAGACAACCTACGGAGTCTGCTTCAGCGAGGGCGACACCGACTACCACTCGTTCCCGCTGGAAGAGGACTACGATGTCGACCCCATGGACTCATACGCCCTCAGCAAAATCTGCGGAGAAAAGACCGCCCGAGGCTTCGCAAGGCGTTTCGGAAACGACATCTACGTGCTGCGCGTAGGCAACGTCGTCGAACCGCATGAGTACGAGCGGGATTTTCCCACGCACGTGAACGAGCCCATGACCAGGAAGCGCAATGCTTGGTCTTATATCGATGCGCGAGACCTCGGCCAGATGTGCGATCTTGCTATTCAGAAGTCTGGTCTTGGGTTCCAGATCTTCAACGCTACCAACAGCTTCATCACGACGAAGGTGCCGACCAAACAGTTCTTGCAGGAGGTCGCGCCGAATACGCCTGTGACGAGAGAGATGGGCGAGTGGGAGGCGCCGTTGAGTAATCGGAAGATCAAGGAGTTGTTTGGGTTCAAGGACGAGCATGACTGGAGGCAGTACTACAAGCCTTGATGTATCTGGTGTTCCAGTGAAAGAAAAACAGGTTGGGCTAAGTCGCTCAGAGATAACTATCATGACATGATAACGATACTACTTTGCCTTCGGCCTCCATGCACAGGTAACTATGGCTCTCTGGGAACACAGCCATTCATGGCCCGGTGAACTTCGCTCGCTCTCAGGGGATAAATGAACGGGGACAGGTGTGGGCGACGTTGGTAGCAGCCTGTCCCGATTAATCTGTCCTGAGAGGCTCGTGAGGCCGAATTTGTCTTCGCAGTAAAAGTGGAAGGGGATATACGAGCTAATGTAGCACACAGTTCGCCTCAGCAGCTCTTCAACCCGACTTGTCACTTCTCTCCTCCTTAGGCTTTTCCCGCAATGCATCATCATCCGATCGCTCAAGCCCAATCTGCGGAATGAGCCAAATAGCCAGCAAACAGCCAAGAGCCGCCAGAGCAGCGTTCAAATAAAACATGCGCCGAAAGCCGGACGCATAAGCATCAACAGCCAACCGCTCGATCATATCGCGCTCATTGCCATCCCCCAACCTCTCAAGTACACCCCCGGAATTAACGAGAAACTCCGTCCCAGAAATGCCAGTGCCAGCCAAAGAAGAACGCAGCGCAGAATTGACCAAAGTAGCCGAAATGGCAAGGCCCAGCGTCGAGCCCAGATTCCGCACGAAGTTCCTCGTGCAAGTCACAACTGCCATGTCCTGCCTCGCAACGCCCGCTTGTATCGCTATCAACGACGGCTGCAGAGTCTGACCCACACCAAAACCTGTTAGCAGGCCGTAGCCGATCGCTTTTCCCAGGTCGAAGTGCTGCGTGTCCAGCGTCGAGTAGCATCCGAGACCGACTGCCCATGCGACCCAGCCGACGATGATGCTCTCGCGGTAACGGCCGGTCCAGTGCACGATCAGGCCGGATGATGTGCTTGAGATGGTTTGCGTTAGGGTGATGGGGAGGAGGAGGGCGCCTGATTTGACGGCCGACATGCCGTACGCTAGCTGGAAGAATGACGGGATGTAGTAGACTTGGGTGACGAAGAGCCAGCCGTTGATGAACATCGTTAAGCAGGCTCCTACGACGAGTCCGCTGCGGAAGATGTGCACTGTTGTTGAGGTCAGCGGGGTGTAGGCATGTTTCTCATTGGTGCCGTGTGTACTAACGAGGCATGAGCGGGAATTTAGGCCCCTTCCATTGCCAAATGACGAAGGCAGCGAGTGTGGTCAGACCCAGAATCAGTGGTACTATGACCGCCGGAGAGTTCCAAGGATAGTCGGAGTCGGCCCAGGTGAGAGATAGCTGATGTGGTCAGTCGCCTTTCATTCTCCAATTTTAACGTCAGA